TTATAACTAATAATCACATATCTCATAACCAAACACTCTTTTGACTCATAACTACACCACTTTGCTCATAACCAAAATCACATATCTCATAAACAACAATCACATATCTCATAACCAACACTCTTTGGCTCATAACTAACATCACATATATCATAACCACTAATCACATATCTCATAACACCCTTTGGCTCATTGTCACACCACTTTGATCATAATTAACATCACATATCTCATAACCATTAGTCATATATCTCATAATCAATACTCTGTGGCTCATAACCATACCACTTTACTTATAACCACTAATCACATATCTCATAACCATTAGTCATATATCTCATAATCAATACTCTTTGGCTCATAACCATACCACTTTACTTATAACCACTAATCACATATCTCATAACCAACATTCTTTGGCTCATAACCACACCACTTTACTCATAACCACTAATCACATATCTCATAACCACACCACATTACAAGAAAAGTGGGCTTATGAGGCAGAACTTTTTGCGACGTCACATTTGCCGTCGCAAAAAATGACTTTTTGCGATGGCACAACTTGCTGTCGCAAAAAATATGACTTTTAGAGACGGCACAACTTGCCATCTCAAAAAATGTGACTTTTTGAGACGGCACAACTTGCCTTCTCCAAATAATCCAACTATGTTGTTGATGAAGACTCGGTTGGGATGACTTCTTCTTGTCAAGTCATATGTAATTGATCATAACCATCCATGTGTCTCTCTCCCTATTATCTCTGCCAATTTATGCATTGTCTGTTTTGTTTAATAAATGCTAATAGTGTTTGTATGGTTCTTGTGTCAATTTGGTCTTCATATTTTTAATTTGCTCGATATTGACTGTGACTTTTTTTTTCGCTCTTAATTTGATTTAATTGATTATAACACTTGATGATAATTAGATTTATATGATTCCAATTCGATCCAATAACTTGCAAGAGAAGATGAGACCGTCTTTGGAGCATAGGTGTAGTGTCGGACAAAGGCCCTCTGATGCCTTTGTTAGAGGTGTAGATGTAAAGAGAGAGAGAGAGAGAGAGAGTTTAGGATTTTAAATACATACTTGGCTTTTTATAGAGGGTTTTTGTCCTAAGCCACTAGTGGTAATGGGCCCAATGGGTTGATTTACCAAACCAGAACTTTAGCTTATTGTATATAGATCAGGGATCAGATCAGGGAAAGTCTATAGTACATCTTGTTTAAAAAATGTATGGTACATAAAAAATCAATGGTTCAGATTGAGCCACATCATTAAAAGTGACCTGGTAAGCAGGTCACTTTTTATAGTTATGAGCCAAAATCATATTTGTTCATAACTATAATCAAATTAATCATAACTTAGTTATAAGCTTCTTTCTATCTCTCTGTCTCTGTCTCTCTTCTCTTTCTCTCTCTCACTCATAACTTCTGTCTGTCTGTCTATCTGTCTCTCTCTTTCTCTATGTGTCTCTGTCTCTCTTATCTCTCTTTCTCTCACTCATCACTCTTCTTTGTCTGTCTGTCTCTTTCTTTCTCTCTATGTCTCTGTCTCTCTTCTCTTTCTCTCTCTCACTCATCATTTATCACTCTTCTCTGTCTGTCTGTCTGTCTCTCTTTCTCTCTTTCTCTCTGTGTCTCTCGTCCATCTTTCTTCTCTTTACCTCTCTCATCTCTCTTCTCTCTCTGTCTCTCTTCTCTTTATCTCTCTTGCTCTCTCGCTCATCTCTCTTTGTCTCTTTCTCTCTCGTTTATCTCTTTTCGCTCTCTCTCTCTCTTTGTCTATATATTTTCATCCATTTTTTTATCTTCCTTCATTTCTCTCTTCTCTTTCTTTCTCTCACTCATCACTCTTCTCTGTCTGTCTGTCTGTCTATCTATCTCTCTCTGTGTCTCTCACTCATCTATCTCTTTTCTCATCTCTTTTCTCTCTCTGTCTTTTTCGCTCATCTCTCTTCTCTTTATCTCTCTCGCTCATCTCTCTTCTCTCTATCTTTCTCTCTGTCTCTCTCGTTCATCTCTCTTCTCTTTATGTCTCTCTTGCTCATCTCTCTTCTCTCTATCTCTCTCGTTCATCTCTCTTCTCTCTATGTCTCTTTTTTGTCTCTCACTCTCTATCTCTTTTTCTTTCTTTCTCTCTCTCTCTCTCTCTCTCTCTCTCTCTCCCACTGCGTTTGCGTTGTTCACTCTCTCACTCCCATTTTCTCTGTTTGCGTTGTTCTCTCTCTCTCCTACTGTGTTTGCGTTCTTTCTCTCTCTCTCTCGCTCATCACTCTGTCTCTCTCTCTCCTCTCTCTCCTCTATCTATCTCTCACTCATTTATCTCTCTCACCACCCATGTCCTCTACCATCTTCACCACTACTACAAACGCTATTCCACCACCACCACTACTTCTACTGTCGCCACTTCACCTCTACGACTACCATTACTACTGCCATTGCCATCACTTCATTACCACAACTACCACTACTGCCACTACTACTACCATTACCTCTCCTTCACCCCTGTCACTCCATTTACACTACCACTACCACAACTTCACTACTAATCTCTTTCACCATGACCATCACCATGACCATCACCATCACCATCATCTTTTATCCACCATCTTCACCACTATTGCCGCTCCCTTTCCTCTACCACAAAAAATTAGTTCATGATTTTTAGTAACACAAAAAAAAAAAAATAGGCCGCAGAAAAATATTTTTCATTGACTACAAAAAATTAACTTTTATTTTAGTGAAAAATATTTTTCACTAAAATAAAAGTTAATTTTTTGTAGTCAATGAAAAATATTTTTTTGCGGCCTTTTTTTTTTTTTTTTTTACTAAAAATCATGAACTAATTTTTTGTGGTAGAGGAAAGGAAACGGCAACAGTGGTGAAGGTAGTGGATAAGAGATAAACTTGTGATAATTTACTTATAAAACTATCAAAATGACTCTTGATATTTCCTGTTACGCTGTGTAACTTTTTGAGACCAATAATTTTGGTGGCCAACACATATTATTGGCATTTTTTAGGGACCAAATATTGAAAAATTACAAAACCTCACCTGATGCAAATACACACTGAAAACCGTATCCAAGCTTCACGATGTGTAAAAACTTCTCTCTCTATTTGTCAAGCTCCATCGCAAGCTTCATTGTAGGTCTTCGCTCTGTCCATCTCGAGCTCCATTGCAGATCAGTTTGAGATCTACAATCTTCAGTAGATCTACCTTGTTCTTCACATTTTCTATAGATTTGGTGTCTCTCTCTCTCTCTCTCTATATATATATATATATATCTGCCTATACATATACATATGTATATATATATATATATATATATTGTAGATCTATGAAGAACACAATAAGTAGTTCACATTTTTGTTCGATTGGCCTGCACATTGTCATGGATGCAATTTTTCTATAGGTTGATTCTTCACCTTCTTCATTTTTTGCAGATTTCTGCTACTTTGAAGACATCGATTGGTTAATTCACTCTCTATCAAGGTATTTCTCGATCCTTCAAGTAGAATACATAGTGTAGCCAAAAATTAGTTTTAATGTCGAATTAATAAAATTCATTTAACTCATTCTGTTTGATTTTTGTTTATTTCATCATTTTGATGTGAATTTTAATTTTAGGTATTTCTCAATCCTCTTGATGTGAAATTTTAATTTAACTCAGGTTTGTTAAAAGAACTAGGCCATATATGTTCCCGGTTCTGTGTTGGCTGGAACATCTTCGGGAAGAGGTGTAGATCCTTGACAAGGATCTGATTTCCCCAAATAAATAAATAAATAAAAGTAATGCCAAACTCTAATATAACATGAAATATCATTGAAGCTTAAAAATTACTCAAGTTGTATTTCTAGTCAGTGTGGAGAGAGCCCAATCGTCTTGAAAATTACTAGTGATTTCACATTTTCAACTTCGCTTTGAACTAGAAAAGATCTTTATTTTTGTTCTAATATAACATGAAATATCATTGAAGCTTAAAAATTACTCAAGTTGTATTTCTAGTCAGTGTGGAGAGAGCACAATCGTCTTGAAAATTACCAGTGATTTCACATTTTCAACTTCGCTTTGAACAAGAAAAGATCTTTATTTTTGTGATTCTGAACTTGGTACATATAATTGAATAGGAGCATTGTTGGAATTTCCTCAATCTGCCTTTCATGGACTTTTCTCATCCTTGTGTGGAATTTTAATTAATCATTCCAAGGACAAAATGGGGTCTACCTCCAATAATGTGAGAAATGTTTTGAAATTAACAAAGTAATGACATTATAATCTAGTTGAAATGAAGGGACTGATAGGAGAAAAGTTCACAGTGATCACAAAAGCAGCAAAAATAAGCACAACCGTAGTGACAAAGAAGAACAATAACGAAAATGTACGGAGATTAAGAGCCAATGAACATGAATTTAGAAATAAAAAAGAGAGATTGAAAAGAATATAACAACATATACAATAAATTACAATGTAAAGTACACGTAAAGCTTATATGATTTCAAGCCTAGAAAGTACAGGTTATGATGTATGCCAAACAAGCTCTTTAAAGAGAGTCGCAATTTGCATTCTAGGGGTAGGTAGATGATTGTTTGGTGAGCAGAAAGAGCTTGCTGCTGTAGTTTAATTATTTGATTATTGATACAAGCATAATTGTGGTCACACTCACCAAAGTATTACTAATTTGATATTGTCATTAATATTCACAGTTCTCAATCTTTAGCATTGCATATAAACATAGTTTTGGATTTGGTAGCACCATAAAACAGGGGACTTTTTAGAGGGGACAGAAAACTTAACTCGTTTTGCTTTTTTTGCTTTCTCTTTCTTTCCATTTTTTCCTCTTTATCTATTCTTTTCAAGAATGTGTAGCTAGTCAAAACATGGTTTATTCATGGAACCAAAGCGTGGTCTATTCTTTGGCCTTTTTTTTTTTTCCCTTCCTTTTTTAAATATATATATATATATATATATTTCCAATGAATCTTCTGTTTCTCCAGGTGTTATTCATCTACACTTGCTTATGAAAGGCAAACCAACTCTTGTTTATGCTTCGTCTGTTGCGTTAGGTGTAGTTAATATTAGCAACTCATGGATTTTTGTGCCAGAAGTAAAAATTAAAAAAATGTTAGTACAGAGAGCTTATCTTATAATTCAAGTGATTAAGAATGAATAAAAACACAAACAGTAATGTTATGTCACTAAGGCAACAACCCAACCAAAATTCCATAACTTTTTTCTTCCATATCTTCTAGTATCAACTTTAGTTTTTTACCTAACAAGCTCGAGTTAGCTTTTTGAAAGTGAACACTGAATATCGGATAGATGTTACAAAAGCAATACTTTGTCTGTTCCTTGTTCTTGTCCAAAACAATTGCATTGAAGAATAACATAATCCCTTCCCATATGTTAGTTTAACCATACTTTGTTTTTGTTTTTGTTTTTTTTCAACCTCATTGGCCAGCATTTCTTATGGTTAAATCAGACACTATTAATTCCTAAGCATTTCTTATGGTTAAATCAGACACTATTAATGTTTGCTAAGCATGAATAATAAAACTTATGATTGATATGCTTCTGTAGGTTGTCTGGTACCTAGAAACAAAGATGGCATGGCATCTAAAAACGCATGTTTGAAGAGAATATTAGACCTGTTAATACTTTAAAGTTAGAAAATTCAGCTTTTGGGAAATGCTACTTTAAAGTTAGAAAATTCAGTTAGAATATTAGACCTGCTACTAGATTATGGTGCTTTCTCTACCAGTTATTATGTTCTCTCTAGGATAAGTAAATAGGAAAATCAATGTCTTCGGTTGCTTTGTTACAATGTAGATATAAAATGACTGTATTTAATTTCATGAGCAATTGTAGAAAAAACTTAAAGAGCGGGAGAACGAAGCTATAGAAGATGGATCTGGCCCACTATCTGATGAGCAGCTTTCCATTGAGGTGTTTGGACGTAAGTCTGGATAGATCTGTCATAGTTATAAATTTAGATAGATCTGTCATAGTTATAAATTTAGTGTGTTTGTTATTTAGAACATTTGATTATGATAACGTGCTTGGATTATGATAACCTTATTGTGTTGATTCTAGGTGACTCACTTTCTTGTTGTGTTGATTCTTATTATAGCTCACTAATACTTCAAGTACACTGAGATAACGTGTTTTGTCATTATTTGTAACTTATTTGATTATGAATGACTGTTGATTATTTAATGAGGTTATGTTGTGTTGATTCTTATTATTTGATTCATTTTTTTTGAATTTTGGGTTGCAGGGATGTCCAAAGGGTGTCACACCTAAGTACAGCTTGAAGCCTCTTGTGTCAAGCCTGTCTGATATAAAGCCTGATATTGATGTTGAGAAAATACTTTTTTAGATATTTTCTTTGTAGAAACTATTGTATTGTTGCTATTCTTCATTTGAACTGTTACTACTTTGATCTGAATTTGGAAACTTTTAGTTTTAATTTTTGTCAAATTTACTTTCTATATACTCATTATGGTTTGGGAATAGAGTGGGTTTGATATGTGGATGTCAAATTTTTTTTAATATGATTGGATGACATTTAATTTTGTGCATTTTAGCTATGAGATTAAATGATTACAAAATTTAACTTTGATTTTTAGCGACGAAAATGTGTTGCTGAGAAAGTTATATGTCTTTTAGCGACCAAATATCATAGTCATTAAAAGTGTCATTATTTTGTTTTTTGCGACCAAATTGGGACATTTTATGACGAAGTATTAGTGACCAAATGTTTAGTCTTGTAAAATCAAACATTTTGTGACAATATAAAATTGGTCACTAATTGTCATTTTTGGGGACATTTTCAAAAATTGGTCGCTAAAGACTTTTCTAGACGCACTTTTAGTGACTTTTTTAGTGACAAAATTAATTTTGTCACAAAAACCATTTAGAGACTAAAATAATAGTTTTAGGGACTAAAATAATTGGTCGCCAAAAGTCTTATATGTTGTAGTGGGACTTAAATCTGTTAGTATTTTGATGGATATTTGTTTTGTATAAATTTCTAGCAAAGGCTATGAAGCCATTTTGTTTAGTGTTTTCGCTCATTTTCGAAGCAAATGCGCAACAGCAAGTGCATATAGAAAATTGAATGCCATTATTCAATCGTCTTTTCCCATAAAATATTCTCTTAAAAATGGCCAAACCATCATTTTAGCTCTGACAATTCTTTGCACAGTAGCATTTGCCACCAAAACGCCAATTGGAACTAATTGGCAGCATGCCTTGTTATTGTCGACCTCTTGTTTACTTTTATCATCGATGTTCTATGATTCGAGAATTTTATTTTTTTCATCTTGAAGAGTTCAGTTGGTACACCCTTCTCAATCTAGGGTCTTGGCCTTTTACAGCAATGAAAAGGATAAAGAAAGGTGACAGGCCTTTTACAGCTTTTAAAATTTTTATAAATATGGTGTTTGGTTATGAGATATGTGATTAGTAGTTATGATATATGTGATGTTGGTTATGAGATATGTGGGTAATGGTTATGAGCAAAGTGGTGTCAAATGGTGTTTGGTTATGCTATATGTGTTAGTGGTTATGAGATATGTGGGTAATGGTTATGAGCAAAGTGGTGTCAAATGGTGTTTGGTTATGCTATATGTGTTAGTGGTTATGAGATATGTGGGTAATGGTTATGAGTAAAGTGGTATCAAAGGGTGTTTGGTTGTACTATATGTGTTAGTGGTTATGAGATATGTGGGTAATGGTTATGAGCAAAGTGGTGTCAAATGGTGTTTGGTTATGCTATATGTGTTAGTGGTTATGAGATATGTGGGTAATAGTTATGAGCAAAGTGGTGTCAAAAGGTGTTTGGTTATGCTATATGTGTTAGTGGTTATGAGATATGTGGGTAATAGTTATGAGCAAAGTGGTGTCAAAAGGTGTTTGGTTATGCTATATGTGTTAGTGGTTATGAGATATGTGGGTAATGGTTATGAGTAAAGTGGTGTCAAAGGGTGTTTGGTTATGCTATATGTGTTAGTGGTTATGAGATATGTGGGTAATGGTTATGAGTAAAGTGGTGTCAAAGGGTGTTTGGTTATGCTATATGTGTTAGTGGTTATGAGATATGTGGGTAATGGTTATGAGTAAAGTGGTGTCAAAGGGTGTTTGGTTATGCTATATGTGTTAGTGGTTATGAGATATGTGGGTAATGGTTATGAGTAAAGTGGTGTCAAAGGGTGTTTGGTTATGCTATATGTGTTAGTGGTTATGAGATATGTGGGTAATGGTTATGAGTAAAGTGGTGTCAAAGGGTGTTTGGTTATGCTATATGTGTTAGTGGTTATGAGATATGTGGGTAATGGTTATGAGTAAAGTGGTGTCAAAGGGTGTTTGGTTATGCTATATGTGTTAGTGGTTATGAGATATGTGGGTAATGGTTATGAGTAAAGTGGTGTCAAAGGGTGTTTGGTTATGCTATATGTGTTAGTGGTTATGAGATATGTGGGTAATGGTTATGAGTAAAGTGGTGTCAAAGGGTGTTTGGTTATGCTATATGTGTTAGTGGTTATGAGATATGTGGGTAATGGTTATGAGTAAAGTGGTGTCAAAGGGTGTTTGGTTATGCTATATGTGTTAGTGGTTATGATATATGTGGGTAATGGTTATGAGTGGTTATGAGATATGTGGGTAATAGTTATGAGTGGTTATGCGATATGTGAGTAATGGTTATGAGCAAAGTTGTGTCAAAGGGTGTTTGGTTATGCTATATGTGTTAGTGGTTATGATATATGTGGGTAATGGTTATGAGTGGTTATGAGATATGTGGGTAATGGTTATGAGTAAAGTGGTGCCAAAGGATGTTTGGTTATGGTATATGTGTTAGTGGTTATGAGATATGTGGGTAATGGTTATGAGTAAAGTGGTGCCAAAGGATGTTTGGTTATGGTATATGTGTTAGTGGTTATGAGATATGTGGGTAATGGTTATGAGTAAAGTGGTGCCAAAGGATGTTTGGTTATGGTATATGTGTTAGTGGTTATGAGATATGTGGGTAATGGTTATGAGCAAAGTGGTGTCAAAGGGTATTTGGTTATGCTACATGTGTTAGTGGTTATGAGATATGTGGGTAATAATAGTTATGAGTGGTTATGCGATATGTGAGTAATGGTTATGAGCAAAGTGGTGTCAAAGGGTATTTGGTTATGCTATATGTGTTAGTAGTTATGAGATATGCGTGTAATGGTTATGAGCAAAGTGGTGTCAAATGGTATTTGGTTATGCTATATGTGTTAGTGGTTATGAAATATGTGGGTAATGGTTATGAGCAAAGTGGTGTCAAAGGGTGTGGTTATGCTATATGTATTAATGGTTATGAGTTATGAGATATTGGTTATGTGACTAGTGGTTGTGAGATATGTGATGTTGGTTATTAGATATGTGACTAGTAGTTATGAGATATGTGATGTTGGTTATGATCAAAGTGATGTGGTTATGAGCAAAAAGGTGTTAATTATAAGAAATGTGATTAGTGGTTGTGAAATATGTGATATTGGTCATGACAAAAAGGTGTTGGTTACGAGATATGTGACTAGTGGTTATGAGATATGTGATGTTGGTTATGACTCAAAGGGATTGGTTATGAGATGTGGTTATGATGTATGTGAGTAGTAGTTATGAGATGTGTGATTAGTGGTTATGAGATATGTGATATTAGTTATAACAAAAAGGTGTTGGTTATGAGATATGTGACTAGTGGTTATGAGATATGTGATGTTGGTTATGACTCAAAGGGATTGGTTATGAGATGTGGTTATGAGATATGTGATCAGTGGTTATGAGATATGTGATAAATAGTTATGATCAAAGTGGTGTTGGTTATGAGATATGTGATTATGATTATAAAATATGTGATGTTAGTTGTGACTAAAATGGTGTTGGTTATGAGATGTGGTTATGAAATATGTGATATTAGTTATGAACAAAATGGTGTTGGTTATGAGATGTAGTTATAGCTAAGTTATGATCAATTTGATTATAGTTATGAAGAAATATGATTTTAACTCATAACTATAAAAAGTGACCTGTTTAGCAGGTCACTTTTAATGACCTGGTTATGAAGTAATATGGTATAAGTAAATAACTGAATATAACTAAGTTATGAGTTAATATGGTGATAGTTATGACTAATATGGTATAAGTTATGATATAAAATCATATAAGTTCATAACTAAATGTATGGTACACCTAAATGTACCATAGCATCACCCTTAAATGAAAGGCTTTGATCTAGCTTATCTAAAAACAAATTATACCTGCAGCCACCAATGTTGCATATGAAGCTACAATAACAGCACAAAACAAGAATAATTGTATATGGATTACCCTCTTTGGTGAACGATGAAGCACCTTTCAATATCAATACACAGCATGCCTTGGGGTTCTCCCGCGTGACCATAATGACCAGTAAATCATCAACATCCATCAACCCAGTGGCAAACTCGACTTCACTCCAGTCAATTGACCTCCTAACATGACATTCTCAACTCAAACCCAAGTGGAGGACTACCTTACCATTTAGGCCCGTTTGGGCCAAACCCGAGCCCAGCTTGAGACCCTGGGCTTGGACTTGGGTTTGGACCATTATTTTGAAGTTCAATATCAATACACAGCATGCCTTGGGGTTCTCCCGCGTGACCATAATGACCAGTAAATCATCAACATCCATCAACCCAGTGGCAAACTCGACTTCACTCCAGTCAATTGACCTCCTAACATGACATTCTCAACTCAAACCCAAGTGGAGGACTACCTTACCGTTTAGGCCCGTTTGGACCAAACCCGAGCCCAGCTTGAGACCCTGGGCTTGGACTTGGGTTTGGACCATTATTTTGAAGTTCGGCTTGGCTTGTGGGCCTGCATAAGGCCCACTAAATCATCATTAAAAATAATCTTTTTGTGACAATTTTTTGTATGTCGCTAAAAATTGACAAGAATGACTTTTTTTGTTACGATTTTTATAAATTGTCGCTGAAACTTTTAATTAGTGACTTTTTTTATAACGAATTTTGCAAACTGTTTCTAAAAATTAAAAATTAGTAACTTTTTTTGTAACGATTTTTTGAAATTATTGCTAAAACTTATAACTTGTGACAAAATTTTCAAATTGTCACTGAAAATTAAAAATTAGTGATGTTTTCAACAGTATTTGATGAAAAACTCCATTAGTTCTCACAAGACTTATTAGACAATAAGTCTATCTATTAGGACCAGCATGTAGGTTCCTCTAAATTTTTTACTTTTAGATACATAGTTAGTTACATCTAAAAAATAAAATATTTGTAAAATATTGTTAAACAAACAAATTCAAAAAATATACAAATATTTAAAAATGTACTAATTTTATTTTATTTTTTTCGTGTATTTTTATTTTTGGTTTAACGTTCTCAATATTAGAATATTTTAAGATAAATGTGACGTATCGGGTTTTTTGTTTAGTGACAAAATTTTTAAATTGTCACTGAAAATTAAAAATTAGTGATGTTTTCAATAGTATTTGATGAAAAACTCCATTAGTTCTCACAAGACTTATTAGACAATAAGTCTATCTATTAGGACCAGCATGTAGGTTCCTCTAAATTTTTTACTTTTAGATACATAGTTAGTTACATCTAAAAAATAAAATATTTGTAAAATATTATTAAACAAACAAATTCAAAAAATATACAAAAATTTAAAAATATACTAATTTTATTTTATTTTTTTCGTGTATTTTTATTTTTGGTTTAACGTTCTCAATATTAGAATTTTTTAAGATAAATGTGACGTATCGGGTTTTTTGAACCCAACTTGAATTCTAAATTTTCGAACTATCTGTTTTAATCCCAGAGTTGTGGAGTATTGTGCGCACATCAGTAGAGGTGAGGAAACCAGATTTTCGACCTGTAATAAACCGCACGTATGGGAGAGGGGCTCCGCACATGCGGCCAGGTCTAGACAGCCTCAAATTTTGAACCCTTTTTTTGTTGAAATCTGATGCACCACACTTTTTTCCCTCACTTTTTACTTTTCTCTCTCTCTCTCTCTCTCTCCACATTTCATTTTTTCTTTTTCTCTTTTCTCTCATCTCCTTCTAGGAAAATCTCACCAACCCACATAATTCCTCCATCCACCAAAATCCATTGATTTTTGGACCCTATTAGTTCTTGAGGTCATTTTGATGAGCATCTGGAGTGGATTTTTTGACCGGTGGAGCTTGTTTTTCGACATGTTGGTTTTTTAGATTTTTCTCTCTTTACTCTCTTAGAGCTTTGAGGGAAAAATTTTCTAAATATTGTGTATGTATTTTACCTTTATTATTTGTTATTTTGGCAATTTGAGCTCTATTGGAAATTAAGATTTTATTTATATTTGTATTTAATGCATTAAAAAGGGAAATTCATCAAAAAATTTCAAGGATTTTAGGTAGCATTTGATAACGTTTACGTTTTTTATTTATATTTACAAAAATTTTATAAACTGGTTTTGTTTATTTTTAGAAAAACATAAATTACAAACGCGTTTAGTTTGAACAAAATGTTTAAAAACATAAACTAAAAAATATATTTGTTTAAGTCTAAAATATTTATATTTATATTTATTATTTATGACAATGGGATCACACACATTATAATTGAAAAAAAATTAATTAAAAAAATATTTGAAAAAATAAATTCATTGAAAAAAATTATTTGAAAAAAAAAGAGCAAATTACATATATCTCACTCTAGGTTTAGCTAAATTACAGATACCCTCCTGAGGTTTCAAAAATTACAGATACCCCCCCTGAGATTTATATTTTTATAACAAATTGCCCCCTAATTTGTTATGCAAATATAATCTTGAGGGGGATATCTGTGATTTCTCAAACTTCAGGGGGGTATCTGTAATTTTGCTAAACCTCGAGGGGGTATTGTAGTTTGCCCAAAAAAAAATTAATTGCAAAAAAAAAATTGAAAAAAGAAATTATTTGAAAAAAAATTAATTGAAAATAAATTATTTGTAACAAAATGACAAAAAAATTAATTAAAAAAATAATTGAAAAAAAATTTAATTGGGAAAAAAATATTTGAAAAAAAATTAATTGAAAAAAAAAGAACCCCCCTGAGATTTATATTTTCATAACAAATTGCCCCCTAATTTGTTATGCAAATATAACCTTTAGGGGGATATCTGTAATTTCTCAAACCTCAGGGGGTATCTGTAATTTTGCTAAACCTCGAGGGGGTATTGTAGTTTGCCCAAAAAAAATTAATTGCAAAAAAAAAATAATTGAAAAAAGAAATTATTTGAAAAAAAATTAATTGAAAATAAATTATTTGTAACAAAATGACAAAAAAATTAATTAAAAAAATAATTGAAAAAAAATTTAATTGGGAAAAAAATATTTGAAAAAAAAATAATTGAAAAAAAAAGATTAATTGAAAAAAAATAATTGAAAATAAATTATTTGAAAAAAAAATTTGAAAACTGAAAATGTAAACTCATTTTTTCAGTTTACATTTTTTCCTCAAATTTATAAATTGAGACAACCATTTATAAACCAAAAAAATTATCAAACAAGTTTTTATGACAGTTTTTTAAATTTTTGTAAATAAAAACTGAAAACGGAATGGTTACCAAACAAGCCCTTAATGTTTGAGAATAGTTGTTGCGAAATTCTATGATCTTTGAGAAAAAAATCATCTTTAAATGAGGATTCCCTTAATTTTGTCAAAACCTTAGATTGCGTTGAGTTTGGATAAATAATTGGTTGTTGAGAAATCCTAAAAATTTTGGAAACATTATGAATCTTGGTTGAGTTGGGAAAGAGGACGTTGAAACATTTGATTGTTACTCATATTTTCAATCCATTGAAGATATGAGATTATCCACTATTTATTATCTCTTGGAATTTAAATTTTGAATAGAGATAATTGTTTTGGCGAGGGTTGTATTGATTGTTGTAGAACTCACATGCGAATTAGGTAAATTGAAACATTTACAAATTCATGTATAACATTGATCATTACATAATCTCATGATTTAATTTTTGCATTAGATTTGAGAAATTGGCTTTTGAAATTGATTCATTGAAAATACTAGAAATGTGTTGAGTTAATGGGGTAAATACCTTGGTAATAAGTTCGGTTAGGGGGTATAGTTGATTGTAAATTAAGTTGGTTTGAGATCCCAAAACACGCGTAGAGTAGGTACTAAAGTTCCTTTTAGTTAGGAGCCTATAAAGTGGTTTTTGTAGTGCTTTGAGTGCCTACTTGGAGACAGCAACCTAGAGATTATCGTGTCGTATTTATCACCCTTGTTTTATCAAATGATTAACTAGTGGATTTCGATTCTGCCAACAAGTGCATGACATGAGAATTTTAAAATGAGAAAACTTAAATTTTGGCATGGCATTTCACGTGATTGTACCTCATGATATTGTTAAACTTCATGCATTTTATTTAGATTATTTCTGCTAGGCTTTATACTCATCCCTATGTAGAAACAACTTTTCAGGTGCTGATGGTGTGCCTCTGTTGAGATGAAGGCATGGAGGATCTTTTTGGAGCATGAAGCGTGGTTTTTTTGGTTAAACTTTTTGCAAGCCAAGGGTTATATGTGTGTTAGGTAGAAAAATCCACCTTTATTGTAACCGGACTAAGTCTTAGAACTTGTAGCCCTAAGGGCATAATATTTGTATCCAATTAACTTTTATCTAAGTAATTCGCATGCTATAAATTCATCTTCTAGAGAGTGTTTGGGCTTAGCAGGCCTATTTTTTGACCGATTAGGTGATCTGAACCATTCACTTTTTAGAACTTGTTGAGTAGAATATTCATGCCAAAATTTAAGATGATTGGTTATCAATAGTTATATGTTTGAATCAAATTTGCATTACAAAATAATTAATGGCTATTTTTGAAATTATATTTGTTATTCATTTTTTAAAACAAACATTGTTCAAACATATTGCTATCGATGTCCAATCATCTTGATATTTTGTATGAATATTCTAATCAACGAGTTTTAAAGTGTGAACGATTCAGATTACCGAAATTGGTCCCAAAATTGACTTATCAAGCTCAAACACTCTCTCAAGTCGAGATGATAACTTCAAAGAAACCAAACCCATATAATTATACAACTTATACACATTTTAATATAATTTTTACACATTTTGCAACATTAACAACAGCCCTAAGGGCTGCTTTTAGCATTTTCCTTTATTAATAAAAATATAATAAAATTAGATTGATTGTACCCATAAGATTTCAACATATTTGTCTTTTAAGAAAATGTACAACAATTTTTTTTTTATTAAAATCATATGTATTGTACTATTTTTGTAAAATATATATATATATATATATATGAAATCATGTAATTATAATTATTCAATTAATTTAAATTTTTTTCATGAATCATCTACATAAATGGGAGTACTAATTAATCGAATCGAATTTTCTTAACCGATCCTATTATGGTCAAAAAAACAAAATTAGACAGATACAATCAAAACGCAAATAGGACATAAACTGCTCTCATAATATTCCCCATGCAATGCACTCCAAGATTGTGTTTAGATTATGAATTTGGATATAGATTTGGAAAGTAAAAAAGAAAATGAGTAAAATATGAATGAAATATAATTACATTCTACCTATATTTCAGTGCCATTTTTTTTTTCTTTTTCAAATTTCTATCGAAATCCATGATTCAAATACAACCCAAATGTACATCCCCTAATAATTAGCATACCATGCATCCAAAATCATATACACAAATCCACTCGCAAATCGGGTATTTGGAATAATCTAAATAAGTATACTTTTTGACTTTTTATAAAAAGATGTGTAGAAAAGTAAAAATGTGATGTGATTCAAATAAGTGCACTTATTTAAATAAGTGCACTTATATAGGTTATGCCAAATAGGGTACACAATCACATAAATATTATTACAGTTGTAGGTAGCTAAATAGTTTTTCAAGTTGCATGCACACTCAAGAAGTTGTTCATAAACAATGGAATGTGAAATCAAACTCACAATTGAAGCTATAAAACTAAACCATTGTGGCTAAAAATATATACAAATGACAAATATTAGAAAACATTCACCTTTCTTATTGGCCAAATAGAGAAACCAGCAAATTTGTGCACAAGGTAGTCCAGCGTTCTACACTCCCCAGCAAATTTGTGCTTGCCAAAATTTCAATGCAAACTGTTGATGGTGTAAATGTACAACAAAATATGAATTTTCCTCTCATCAAATATGTGCAGGATGCATGGAGATCCATAATCGGAGAAAAAAAAATAATTTTAATCATTTAAGAAAACATAAAGTGTGACCCACTAAAAGTATTTTCATTTGTTGTTCTCTTTGTTAATTTTATTAAAAGTGTGACCCATTATCAATGGCGGAGCTAGTATTTATTATTAGTGGGGTCAATTAATAATCAAAATACATTACACCAGTATTAATGTACTAAAAAAATAATTAAAAATGTAAAAGGTTAGAAATATATCATTTTGTTTTTGATTTTGAACTAAGTTTTGAATATGAATCATATTTTAGGAAAAAAAATTCAATATTTTTTTATGTTAAAAGTTGTCATTCTCATAAAATAATATTATTTAGTGGGGTCATTTTAATGAAATTTCAAAATATCACTTAGTTTTTTAAATTGATCTCATGAAATTACAAAATATTGTTGAAAAATAATGATTTGTCGGCAATTTTAATTCAAAATTAAAGTGAGACCCAATAGCCGGTTGAGGTGGATCTAAGTAGTTTTGTATTATCTTAAGTGAGAAGATTGCAATACAAAAATAATGAGTCGAAACCATTGAGTTATGAACGAGAATTGTCTCATAAATTGAGCATCAATAAAGTTGGGTTTAGATTTGGATTTAGTCTTAGTTTGAACTAGGTCTAGACTTGTACTTGTGCATGTGCATGGTTTGGTCTTGGTCTTAGACTTAGACTTAGACCTGATCTTGAGCTTTGCGCTGAGCTGTGTTGGGCTAGTTTGTCCATGTATTTGAGATTGGGCTTGGATCAGGTTGTGACCCAACACCCTGTATTTATTTTGCAACCCATATAGTTTAATTCTCAAAACTTATACATTATATACACATTATGATTTAAATAATGGTTTTGGAGTTTTGAACCTTTGTAACTCTAGCCCTAATGGTTAGAGTTGATGACATTTGATGACCCTATTAATGTTAGTCTTCATGGCTAAGGCTTTTCCCTATAGAGATGGCAATCGGAACCCGGCCCGACGGGGAACCGATCCCCCGACCCCGAATTGAGTGGTGATTCCCCGATGGGCCGGGGGTGGTAATAAAAATTAAATCCCCGATGATATACGGGCCGGGGACGGGGATACATGTTTCAGCCCCGGCCCTCGGCCCCACCCCGACCCCGAGCCCAGATCTTCACCCAGCCCAGATCCTCGCCCTGTTTTCCCCGATATAAAATTACTGTTTTGCCTATATATATATAACATATATAGGGTATATATATATAATATATAGGGTTTGGTTGAACCGCAGCCTCTTCTCCTCCCTTTTATCTTCCTCTCTCTGTCATCTCTCTCTCTCTTCTACTCTCACTCTCGTACCTCTCCGCGACGCCGATCGCCTACTCCGTCGTCCTCTTCTGTCGTTCGTCCTCCTCCGACGCCGATCGCCTACTCCGTCGTCCTCTTCTGTCGTTCGTCCTCCTCCGACGCCGATCGCCTACTCCGTCGTCCTCTTCGGTGGTTAAACCAAAGTATAATTTAGTGTAAAATATAAAGATTCAAGACATAATTTAATCTTTTGTCTCTTTCAAAGATTTAAATTGTCTTTTAAATGATGGAGAATAGAGATACCCTAACACTTAGCATAAAGTCTTATAAATAAATTCAAAATACACGTCATTATTGACAAATCACACTTATTAATTAAGTTAATTATTTTTACATCTTGTAAGAGTCAAATATGAGAGGAGAGGTATCATGATCAACCACCTAACCTCTCTCTGTAACAGATCTGTGTGATTTTTTTTATTTTTTTTGAACGAATTTTTTTTGTGTGGAGGGTTTGTACGAAATACCATAACAAAACAAATTTGTTATTTTTTTTTTTTTATCTGTTATTGATTTTTTGATCAGGTGGTGGTGATGTTGTTTTTTGATCTGTTGATGAGGATCGGGGAATTTCGGGGTCGGGGAAACCCGATCCCCGTTGGGGACGGGGATGGGGACTGTGATTGGTTCCCCGTCGGGGATCGGGACCGGGGACGGGGAAGTTTTGGCCATCGGGGATCGGGGACGGGGAGGGTGATCCCCGGCCCCGCCCCGCCCCGTTGCCATTCCTACTTCCCTACTAGTATAAATAGAGGCCTTTCTTCTCCAACTTTGTAGGTGGTTTTTAGAGAGGTTTTGTGATAGAAAATAAGATGGTGTTTTAAGATAAAAAGGTGCAGATGTTTTTTTTGCCAAAGAAAATTTTTTCTATCTTCTTTTGCTACCCTCCTTTTTTGGTTCTTATTGGAGATGATGCAACCGTTGTCAAGTTCGACGAAAGTATTCAGAAAGTGCTTTTGAATTAGCTAGTTTCGACCGACGTATCTTGGGAGACAGACGACGTCGTACCTCTAGCATCCATCGAGAGGTGGTGAATCTGTTTTAAGGAAACTGTCTAGTGCAAGCTTCAATTTGCTTCTTTTCTTATCATTTGTTCTAATTTTTTCAAAAATTTAGTTTGCAAATATGAGTTTTAATCTTTAGTTATCCATGCTAATAATTTATTATATTAGTAATGTAATCTAATTCATTTCTATGTTTTTAGTTATGTATTTTATTCTGTATTTCATTCTTTAAACATTAAAAAAAAATTATTTTGTCATTTCTATTTAATTTATTGTATATATTTTTCATATATTATTATGGAAAAATACCAACAAGTATTAATTAAAATATTGAATTAACATGGATTATGTCTAACATTTCAGTGGGTTCAATTGAACCACTGATTACAATGTAGCTACACCAATGCCCATTATGCTAACACATTCTTCATAATTTTATAATTTTTTGATATTGTGAGTGTTCGGATTTTTTTTTGGCTTTTTGTTAGCTTATTTTCGTCTTTGGTGAATTTTTTTTTTTTAAAAAAAATTAGATTGATTAGAAATTAGTACAAACATGTTTGGATCACATTTGTCTTAAAAATATGGATGGTCTATTTTTTGCAAAATTGTACTTGCAATTTATTTTTTAAAGACAAATTTGATTGAAACATGTGACTATCAATATCAAATCAACCTAATTTTTTTTTATGAATAATGTAATCTGACGACACTAAAAGTTGCATGGTTCAAATTATTAAGATAAACCAAAAATGAGCCCACAATATACTAAATTGTACCCTCCCGTCCAAAAAGTGGATGGAGGGAAGCCAATTCCATCAATAATAATAGGACTAATGCTACAGACAAAGAAATCAAACACACCAATATATTCACACACACACACACACAAAATGTGGTTATGATCTAACATTTGTATTGTAAATCATACACTTAATGAATCTAAGCTACACATTTTTTTTTTCTTGATTTTATTTATTTATTGAGTGTGTTGTTTCTTAATCAGTAACATTCCTTGTAATAATAGTGAAGGATGATCAACTTACATTACTGTTTGCCGCATGCCATTTTACCATCAGTCATAGATGTAGTCAAAAGTTGGAGAAATATTTGTTTGCCCTTCTCAGTTTCTTTATCATCATCATTTTCATTCATAATTGCGGAATTCCTAAATAAAATGAAAGCCGCATACAAGAAAACAAAAATATATTGGAAGTTAGTTTCATATTATTCCAAGATTAAAAAAAAATATCACATAAAATAAAGTAATTCACCATAAATCTAGTTGCAGAAAAAATTATACAAATTAAAATTCGTAACATTTCATGGTTACCTTTCCTTTTAAACGTCGTCTCTTGTCCTGCTCAGTTTCCTTATCATCGTTTTCATTCATAATTTCACATTCCTAAATAAAAGGAAAGTGACATGCAAGGAAGTAAAAATATATAAGATTAGTTTCATATTATTCCAAGATTTTAAAAAAAAATAATTCACCATAAATCTGGCTAAGGAAGAAATTATGCTAATTAGAATTCGTAACATTTTATGATTACCTTTCCTCTCAGAAGTCGTTGTTTGTCCTGCTCAATTTCCTTATCATCATTTTCATTCATAATTGCACATTCCTAAATAAAAGGAAAATGATGTACAAGGAAATAAAATAATATAGGAAGTTCAGTTTCATATTATTCCATGATTTTTAAATTAAAAAAAATGTCAAATGAAAAAAGTAATTCACCATAAATCTGGTTGAGGAAGAAATTCTGCAAATTAAAATTCATAACATTTCATGGTTACCTTTCCTTTCAAAAGTCGTTGCTGTAAATATTGATCGAGACAGAGATTTTTCAACTTTGAGAGTGCAACCTGTCGAAATTTATTTTGTCATATTGTTTAGTAACTTAATGAAGTAGGATAATTAGCAGATTGGAATTGAACCTCAGTGATGATGGTGATTCATGTTTTGTGATATTAGACGAGCCAAAATTCCACTTCATCACCAATGGATCAAGGGATGACATGTACTATACATTTAATACAAGAAAAAGAGTATACATAATATTTTTTCTAATTCTATTTTCTTACTCTAGACATAACGTAGTACTCCGGACATACTTAATAATTTTTTAGACAGGGTGATTATTGAGTACTCCGAAAAAGTGGATGGAGGGAAGCCAATTCCATCAATAATAATAGGACTAATGCTACAGACAAAGAAATCAAACACACCAATATATTCACACACACACACACACACACACAAAATGTGGTTATGATCTAACATTTGTATTGTAAATCATACACTTAATGAATCTAAGCTACACATTTTTCTTTTCTTGATTTTATTTATTTATTGAGTGTGTTGTTTCTTAGTCAGTAACATTCCTTGTAATAATAGTGAAGGATGATCAACTTACATTACTGTTTGCCGCATGCCATTTTACCATCAGTCATAGATGTAGTCAAAAGTTGGAGAAATATTTGTTTGCCCTTCTCAGTTTCTTTATCATCATCATTTTCATTCATAATTGCGGAATTCCTAAATAAAATGAAAGCCGCATACAAGAAAACAAAAATATATTGGAAGTTAGTTTCATATTATTCCAAGATTAAAAAAAAATATCACATAAAATAAAGTAATTCACCATAAATCTAGTTGCGGAAAAAATTATACAAATTAAAATTCGTAACATTTCATAGTTACCTTTCCTTTCAAACGCCGTCTTTTGTCCTGCTCAGTTTCCTTATCATTGTTTTCATTCATAATTTCACATTCCTAAATAAAAGGAAAGTGACATACAAGGAAGTAAAAATATATAAGATTAGTTTCATATTATTCCAAGATTTTAAAAAAAAATAATTCACCATAAATCTGGCTAAGGAAGAAATTATGCTAATTAGAATTCGTAATATTTTATGATTACCTTTCCTCTCAGAAGTCGTTGTTTGTCCTGCTCAATTTCCTTATCATCATTTTCATTCATAATTGCACATTCCTAAATAAAAGGAAAATGATGTACAAGGAAATAAAATAATATAGGAAGTTCAGTTTCATATTATTCCATGATTTTTAAATTAAAAAAAATGTCAAATGAAAAAAGTAATTCACCATAAATCTGGTTGAGGAAGAAATTCTGCAAATTAAAATTCATAACATTTCATGGTTACCTTTCCTTTCAAAAGTCGTTGCTAATATTGATCGAGACAGAGATTTTTCAACTTTGAGAGTACAACCTGTCGAAATTTTTTTTGTCATATTGTTTAGTAACTTAATGAAGTAGGATAATTAGCAGATTGGAATTGAACCTCGGTGATGATGGTGATTCATGTTTTGTGATATTAGACGAGCCAAAATTCCACTTCATCACCAATGGATCAAGGGATGACATGTGCTGGATGTACTATACATTTAATACAAGAAAAAGAGTATACATAATATTTTTTCTAATTCTATTTTCTTACTCTAGACATAACGTAGTACTTCGGACATACTTAATAATTTTTTAGACAGGGTGATTATTGAGTACTCCGGGAGTACGGCCACGTAATACTCCATGGTATCATGATTGGTGGAGAATATGGAGTATTATAATTTTGTATTGAGTAATTGAGGAATATAAAAAGGAATGATAAATGATGATTGATTAAGGAATATAGATACATGGTATTTGAAAGTACCTAATAATTTTCTAGACAGTAGGACCTACATTAATAAATGACATGGGATTCATTTACCCTTGTGGGGAATGGGGTACCTGCTGTGCGCTATGCACAGCAGGATTTGCTGTGCTCTTAAACGACACCGCATTGGTGCATTTTCTTATAACCAATCACAGCTATTGTCCTTCTAATGGGCAAGCTTTAATGCTTTTAAATTTTATTTTTTTCTTTTGTTTGTTTTAGTTATAAAACTTATTAAAAAAAATACTTTCTTAGATCAAAATGATAGAATCAATTTGACTTTTTAAAGAGATTTTGTAATTTCATTTTATGATGTGTGATTGTTGGTTCAAATTTAATAGAGATTGACAAACTTTGTGATATTTCATTTCTTTAATAACAACTAAGTTCTACTGATAAATAAAATAAAAATTTAAGTCAAAATCAAAATTAATTTGGGATGGCAATAAAAACAATTCTCAAAATAAATTGACATTTTGACCATATTTTTTTTTGTCACACATTATATATACTATATGAAGAATCAATAGAACTGAAACAACCGCTTAAGACTGATTGAAAATTTAGTTTTTGGTTTGTTTTGATTTAAATTTTTTTTATATCAATATAAAACGAACCAACTGAAATATTTTATTTAAATATTAGTCTTTTTTAATTCAATGAGTATTACACGATAAGTGATCAATAATATAAGTTTTCTTTAATAAAAGTTAGAGAGACTTACGTATAAGTTTTAATAGGTGAATTTATTATCTAATAGGTTCTATGATAATTAATAATATTTTTTATCAAACACTATTAAAAAATGTCACTATTGTTAATTTTTAGTGACAGTTTGAAAATTTTGTCATAAAAAATGTCACTAATTATAAGTTTTAGCGACAGTTTAAAAAAATCGTCACCCAAAAAATCACTGATTTTCAATTTTACATAATTTTATCTTTAGTAGATAGAAATAATTTTTTTAAATTTAAAAAAAAAATTAATATTTATTTTTGTCAAATTAGTTTATATTTTATCAAATTGACGATTTTGTTCTTAAAATTAAATAATGATATCTTTAATTATTTTTATTTAGAACAAATTCAAAATTCAGGATCAAATGTGTCACAATTGAAAAATCTGAGACAAAAATAACACAAGTCCCTAATTATAAGAACCATTAATGTAATTCATCCTAATATAAATGATATCAAACTCCACTTAATATGATTTACAATCTTACATTGCAAAATGATACTATTTGATTATATCATTTTGATATTAAGAAAGTAATTTTTGTAAGTCAAGTATATGCCCTATTTAGGACCATGCACAATAACGTTAAAATCGTATCCAATCGTATTAAATCACACCAAGCCATTCATTTTTTCAACTCCGGCGGGTGTGTTGGGCAGTTCTAGGAGTGACGGGTCAGCGTGGATGGCAGTTTGAAAATGTCAACCTGCCTAATAAACCTACCCAACCCTATTAATTAAAATAAGTGGTGTTTTGAAAAATTGGTAAAAAGATAACTTTTGATTTTTTGACTTTTTTGATGACTTTTTTAGCAAAAAACTGAATTGTTTTAAGTAAAAAATCTGACTTTTTTTGCTAAAAAAGTTAAAAAGTTAAAAAACTAAAAAATTTACTTTTTACCAATCTCTCCAAGGTGCCCCTAAGCAAGAGAAAAAATGAAATAAAAAATTCGAATAGCATAATCAATGGTTGCCCCTTGGGTAGACAGTGACGTTGCAACCCTTACAACAAAACGCAACATTACGGTCCCGTATAGGAGCACAGCAAATCCTGCTGTGCGCTATGCACAGCAGCTACCCCTCTTCCTACCTTGTTTGTGTCTTTAAGTGTGAAAAATGGATAACAAATAAGATTATAGGCCATATTCTTTAGTATGATTGTGGATAAAATTATTTTCTATTATAGGAAGAAAAAATAATGTATGAGCTTTGCTCAGCGTAAAATTGGAAACGGCGAGGAAAAAGTCTGCTTTAAGTTTTGACAAATGACATTTTGTTGAGACTTTTAGTTGATAAGTATGAGATAATTTGAGATTATTAATAATTTTCCAGTAATCTGTAATGGGTATTGTATGAGTCATCGGGTGGAATGATAGGATTGGTCTATCATAAAACATAGCATAACTATAAAAAAGAGTTGAAGTACATTCAGTTCATACCTGGTGGTTAAGGAAGGGCTGTGTGTAGAAAGTTTTGAGGTTGTCCAAGCCTTTAAGATTCAAAGTAGTTAGTTCAGGGAACAAAATGGTATTTTCATCAACATCTTTTTCTTTTCCCTCTTCCTCTGAGACTATCGCTAACATCTTTAGACAGCTATAAGCATAGAGTACTTCAAGATTTCGCATCTGTGGAAGCATATAAGACGGAACAATATTCACCAATTTTTCACAATCCTCGATCATCATGCGCCTCAAAGAACAAAACGACTCTCTTGAGTGCAATTTATCCCATATATTTGTTATGTTTCGTACTCTGTTTATGAACAAATCCTCCAAAACAGGGAATACAACCTGCAAGGTTTATTACATTATTGTTAAAAAAATATTTAGAAACTCCTAGATATCACCATCAAACAACATTAATTTAAAAAGTGAAAAGAAAAAGGTCAAGCTATAAGAGATTGCAATTTTGTTATAATGTAATTCCTCCATTATACACGGTCAACATTTTAAACAGAAAAAAAAAAAATTACATACAAAATTAGAGAGACCAAATTGAAATTCAAACAAACTATAGGACCACCGGTACAATATATTTTATTTATTACACCGGTGGTTCCTATAGTTTGTTTGAATTTTACCTTGATCCCTCTAGTTTTGCACATGACATTTTTCCATTCAAAATTCGGCAAATGTAATTTCATTTGGGCCCCATGTGTGTAATTCATTTACAAAAAAATTTAGATTTTTTCGTTAATCTTAACCACATGATTTTATTGTATGCCTTAAAAAAAAGAAAGGGGTTTATTTTTTTAAAAAGAAATACTTACTATTCATTTGTTTTTTTAAATATATTAAAATCATGTGGCTATAATCATAGATCAATTCTCTAGTTTTCTGTGAATGAGCGGACTGAATGAACGCTATAAATACAAGAGTAGGACTCACAATGACCCCAAGGTGTGGTACAATCACTTACGTACAATATTAGGACTTGTATCAAGGACAGATGTAAACTCAAAACAAATATTTTCATTGGAATAGAAATCCTTTTTCTTGTGCTTTCTGATGGCCGTGGTTAATTGAAAGAGTTAGGACATCTGTACCTGATCATTAAACAATGGTTGTGCTTCCGAACTTGTAGAGCTGCTGCAGAAACTTTTGAGGTTATACAATTTGTCAATTGACAGAGAACTTAGTTCAGGAAAAGAAATGATATCGCCATTGACCATTGCATTTGCTTTCTTCGAGACTATCACTTCCATCTCTGGACAACCTTTTACATAAATTGATTTTAGATTTTTTAACCTTGGAAACATACTCGAAGGAATCACATTCACCAGTTTTTCACACCAAGTGGCATTCACGACAGCCAATTGTTCGAAGGACCATGATTGTGTTTTTGGAACTGGGAGTAATTGCTTCCCCCAAATCTCTGTTATGTCAGGCAAGTTGCAAATGTGCAATTCCTCCAAGGCAGCGAAAGCATTCTGCAAGGTAGTTCACGAATCGTAGCACATTTCATTAGCGTCTGTTCCAAATTGATTCACTCCTCGGGTGAATTAACGAGCTAGTGTGGATGTGCAAATGATAGGCAACACTAACTAAATACTGTGTTGCCTTAAAACTTTTCCAGAATTCGTCTGGACAAGAATGACACGACAGAGGCCATTTTGTAAATAAAAGGCACCTTGATGGTTTCTTTTTAACTGATGGTCCCATAACTATGAGAAATTCTATTTTCACACATCTATTTATCTCAGTGCACACACTTAATGAACTATTAAAATAATTGCAATTATATTCTAAAATAAAATGACCATAATAAACACCAAAACACACCCTTAATATTATATTTAAATTTTCTCTATACACATCTTTAAAATAAATAAAAAAAATAAAAAAATTTCAATACACATCTTTTGATTAAAAAAAAACTAAACCCTAAAAAAAAGTCAAAATAAATGTATGCACTAAGAAATAATTATAATTTTCTCTCTATTTTTTTGAACTTCAAAATTTTTTTGTGTAACCGTTCATGGAACTCGTAATGCAAATACAGTGTTGTTTCAATGTAAAGGACTCTTGATTGATTGGGTTTTAGAGGAATTCCTAATTGCTTCTGGAAAGTTGTAGAATACTACTACTACATATCAGACCTGGATTGCATGTGATAATAGGTACACTGGTGGGAGTGATAGGTGGGTTGTCCCAGTATTCAGGCCGTACCCTATGCATCTACGGTTTATTTGTGAACAACTCATTGCCTCTAATGGAATTGTCAATGGCTATTCATTATTTTTTCGTAGAATTGTCAATGGGACATTTTAATATATCAGGTGTGTGGAAAGAGGGCTTTCAACCGAAATGGGTAAAGGTGTGGAATGAAGGTTTAGGTGGTGTGCGTATAATGATATGAGTTAGGGTATAATTGAAATATCAAGTGTAGAAGAATAAACAATAACCAAATTAATAAATGTGTGCACTAAGAAATGATGTGCAGTGAGGTAAGTAGGCGTATGGAAATAGAATTTCCTCTAATATGAGAGTGTGCACACATTTTTTTATTAAATGAGTATATTTGGAATGTGGGTTGTATGGACTGAGATAAATATCTAGTAATCAAATTACTAAGTGTGTGGAGTGAGAAAGAATGTGTACAGAGACAATATGATGTGTGGAAATAGAATTTCCCCATAACTATGAGCATCTCTATTACTAAAATGCTAAAATGGATAGTCAAAGCCAAATTTGACATTGCTACAATGTCAAAATGCCAAATGTTAGCAAGGATAAATTACATTGACACCTCCTGAGGTTTCTCTCTAATACATTAGTACCCTTGTGGTTCTACAAATTGCATCTCCTCCTAAAGATTTATAGTCACATTATAAAACTCCCGCTTTGATAATTGACCATTGAGTCAACTAACATATTTTGCTTATGTCATCAATTATTATTTTGAAAATTCCATGTTTACCCCTAAAACGCCACATTACAACCTTCTACCTTTAAAATCGAGCGTAGCAATACATATTTCCACAATCAATTTCTTTCTCACCTCTTCTTCACCATCTTCTCACAATCATCACATATTCATATAAAATCTTCATCAAGTGTCTCTCTCTTACAATCTTATTCCATGGTATTTACATGAGATTCTTCTTTTTTATTCTTAAACAAGTCCCTGAGAGGGTTGTACTTAGTATATAGCAAATCACAAACCTGGACAATGGTCTTAACCCTTCAACTACACAAAATGAGTTTACCAAGTTTGGTCTGTAATACTCTTGATGTCCTTGGACACTGGTAGGCATTTTCATTCCCAAAGAACATGGCAAGTCTGATAATATCGGCATGATTTGGGTGGACATTGGTGGATGTGGTGGAGATGTTGTGGTGGGGATCTGGTCAATGGTTGTGGTAGTGACAAAATGGATGGTGGAGTGGGGTGGCAATGGATTTGGTAGCAGTGAAACAAATGGGATAGGTTTCGGTTGGTTATGGTGGACGGTATAAAGGATGGGTGATTTATAATATGGCTTTGGGCCGTGGAAGAAGCCGGACTAGATAGGGTCGAGCACGTTTGGGCCGAGCTAATTTGGGCCTGTTCCGAGTGGGTTTCACTCGGTCGTGGCTCAGGACCCCTGTTTAGGCCGAGCTAACTGGGGCTTCCCTGGAGTTGATCTTGCTCGGTCGAGGCCCAGGCCCGAGGTCCAGGTCCCATGTTTGGACCGAGCTTACTTGGCCGAGATGACCGCCTGCCAGCCCGAGTTCCATGGGTCGCACGCGTAGCTCGACGGGAAATGTCTTCTGAGCATCGGCCGACCTGTCGTGAACTCGGCTCTGCCGGAATGCTACCGAGCTCGGCCATTATGGAGCTCGGCGAGTAGAGCACTCGGGCACGTTACGCAGCACGGTCATGGAAGGCCGAGGTAATGCCGCCGGGCTGCCAAGTTCCCGCTAATGTTGTCTGACGGTTTGGTTAGGTGGTGTTCGCTGAATTTGTACTGACAGATGGAAGAGCAGCTTCACGTGTCGAGAGACTAATGGGTGCGGAGTTGAGCGCAGAAAGTACATAAGCATGACTGCGCCCCCCATACTGGGGATGGAACATCATTTGGTAAAACACTCATTGTGATATATCTCTCTCTTCTGCTCTCTCCCTGAGTGTGTGCTAACTTGACTGTCGGAGGAGTTTTCCGGCCACACACCACCGTTGTGCTCGTTGGTCGATCGGATAGACAAGGAGCTTGGACGAAAGGAGTACGGACAGCGACGAGTATTTCCTCCCCGTACAATTGGCGCCGCCTGTGGAAAGTTGACAGACAAAACCTTGTCTTTCAAGCTCATCTGATCGCCTTCCATGGCGAACAACGACGAAATACCGTTGTCCGCCATGGACGGCGTGACCCCGGAGTCAACCAGACGGAGAGAAGGACTCCCCGCCATCCCGAACATGGCGGACCTAGAGACCTCCCCAGGAGGACATCCAAGAGATGCACGAGATAAGCGCGCTAGAAGTTTTGGTCACTCACGAAGCCCAGACGGACACCGACGGCGAAGAGAATCGCACGCTAGACGTCTGGAGCACAAGTTAAGGGACCAAGACATCGTCATCCGGAGAATGGCGGCGGAGGTGGAAGCTTTCAAATGGCAGGTCAAATGGAAGGCTGTTGCTGGAGTGAGAGACCACAGTAAGCGCACCCAACCACGCCGCTCAAGCAACCAAAGCCAGCGGCACACGCCCTCCCTTTTCATCACCAGAAGTTATAGGGGTGGAGGCTCGGGCGCGCCAGTAGAGAATTCTAGCGCGCAAGATAGTACCTACTATCCCTCACGTCCGGCGACAACGTCGAGATATTCTTATTCAAGTCAGAGGACTTGCGGGCTGTCTTGAAGGAACAGGCTTGCCGATGGGAGACCCAGAGAGTACCGGCGCTCCAGCGGCTATCTTACGATGGTCGCGCCGGTGAAGAGGTCATAATGCCACCACCACGCTCAGCCGTCCCTGTCCCTCAAGACACAGATTTGGCGAGGCTGAACGCCACTCCCTTCTCCCTTGAGATAGAAACCACACCGCTCCCCACGGGCTTTCACCAGCCCAAGTTTACGATCTACGACGGAAAGACCGATCCATACATGCATGTAAGCCACTTCCGGCAGGTCATGGCCGGACATAGGCGCAATGACGCTCTTATGTGCCTTATCTTCTCGTTGAGTTTGGGCGAGCTGGCCTTGAAATGGTTTGAGAGGCTACCGGAGGGAAGTATTGAAAGGTGGCAGCAGTTGGCGGAAGCCTTTGACCAACACTAAAATGCCTAAGGAGGTAGACCACCTTCTCATTGTCAAAATGGAGTCGAGCGACACACTCAAGGCATACAATTCCAGATACTAGGAAACCTTCAATGAGATTTTAGATTATCCGATCAACCTGGCAATCACCCAATATAAGCGCGGCCTCCTGGTCGGACATAGGCTGCGGGACTCGCTTACCATGAACTAGCCGACATCCATGGGCCAATTAATGCAGCGCATCAATGAGCACATCCGAGTAGAGGATGATGCGGCGGTGTCCACCGCAAAGACAACTCCGGTGGTAACAGACAAGAGGTCAGCTAGCAAGGTACACGCGGTCGGACATGAGACTAACCGTCCAAATGATCGCGCCGAGGAATCTGATCGTGGGACAAATCATCAAAATCGGGGAAGGATTCGTCGGAATGACCGAGCTGAATACCCCCGCGATGATGTAGCTGATGCTAACAGAAGGTTGAAAGCTCGGACAGACATCACCACGGTCTTTAAGATTCCAATCCATCGCATACTTAGTGAAATCCGTGACGAGGATTATGTCTGGTTTCCTGCTAAGTTAGGCGATGCGCAAAAGGGCTTCAATCCGCGGTACCGTTGCACATATCACCGGGAGCAAGGACACCGGACAGAGAACTGTTTGCCTCTGAAGCAACACTTGGAGGAGTTAGTCGCAGCCGGACACTTAGATCTTTACATTGATGGGGGTGTTAAGGCCGCACTTCCCACCCCGGCTGATCCGCATGGACCGGATGACTTGGATGAGCCCCCTCAAGGAGTGGTTAATGTGATCCACGGCATAGTGGAGCCGGCGCGTGTATGCGAGCTCCGAAGAATGATCAAAAAGCCAGAACACATAATGGAAGTTTTGTCAGTCCAGCCTGTGATCAAAATGGGGAAGACCGAGGGAAAAGACGTGATTAGTTTCTCCACAAGGGACCTAAAGCGCATTCAAACGCCGCACAACGATGCCTTGGTGGTCACCCTCCGCGTCAAACAGTTCAATGTCAAGCGCATCTTGATTGACTAGGGAAGCTCGGTTGAAATTATGTACTACGACATGTTCAAACAACTCAAACTCCGAGATACAGACTTGGCTCCGGCAACTTCGCCACTAGTAGGTTTCAGCTCGCAACCGGAGTGGCCTTTGGAAAAAATAGATTTACCGGTCAAAGCCGGATCCATGGTCAAGCAGGTGGAGTTCTAGGTATTGCAGGTGCCGTCTACATACAATCTGATCCTCGGTAGGGGCTGGCTTCACGCTATGCGGGCTGTAGCGTCGACCTACCACCAGGTCATGAGATTTCCCTCGGCTATGGGGGAAATTGAGGAAATTTAGGGCAATCAAGTCATGTCGAAGCAATGCTTCATGGCAGTGAACGGGAGCCGAGCTGCCAGAGACTTCGTGCAAATGATTGAAGGTCCAGAAGACCAGAGTGTTCTTGATGACGTGGGCACCAGGGCCGAGGACAAAGCTGTTGAAGAATTGGTAGAAGTACGGATCGATACGGAAAGTCCAAACAAGTTCTTTTTGCTCGGATCAAGCCTGACCGCTCAAGAAAGGACCGAGATAGTAGAGTTCTTGATGGCAAATATCGAAGTCTTCGCACGGTCGCCCTACGACATGCCTGGCATCGATCCAAGTTTTATTTGCCACCAACTCAATGTTTTCCCTGATGCACGGCCAGTCATTCAGAGAACAAGGAGATCGGCTCTACATCACGCCGAGGTAGTCGCAGAGGAGGTAAGGAACTTGCTTGAAGCACGGGCTATTCAGGAAGTGCACTACCCTCGGTGGATTTCAAACACGGTCGTAGTATCCAAGAAGAATAGGAAGTGGCGAGTTTGCGTCGACTACAAGACCGTCAACCGAGCTTGCCCTAAAGACAGCTTTCCTCTACCCAGAATAGACCAGCTAGTGGATC